CTGATCTTTTGGAATTTTTGGCCAATAAAAGTTTCATTCTCTGCCACTTAATTTGGAAACCTAGAGATGGAATTCCTGACAACACTTTTTTTCCTTTTCACTGCTGAATTCTCCTTTGACAGACCACTAAAGAGCTGCCTCTCCAGGTCGTTTTTTTCTAGTTGATGTTCCCAAAAGTTTTCAGCCAGCAGGAAACTGAAAACGAAATCTGGGGCTGTGTTTTTTAACACTCCTGAGAAAGGGGAGGCTTCCCTGTGCACGCAAATAAAACGGATTTATGGGATGAATCCACCGATTCCATGAGCTCTTCCCGAGGGCAAAGCGCGCAGGTGCCACCAGCTCACCTGGGGGTGCAGCGCCCTCTAGTCCCGGATCTGGGGAACGCGCCGCTCATTCCTGATGGGAAAAGGGCTGGAGGAGCTGGGAAGGGCAATTCCCTCCGCAACATCAGAGAGATCCTCGGGTTGGTCACCTCGCGACCTTTTCACCGCCCAGAGCAAGCATTGGGAGGGCACCGTTTTTATGGAGTGTTGCTTTGATTTCTGGGATCGAAACTGGGAATAAGGATGAGTGTGGACGTAGGTAAAATCCCATTTTTATTGCTGTGTTAGCAACTGTCTCAGCTGCTGCACTCATGTCCAAATTATCCCAAAAGTAGAATAAAAGATCAATATTCTCCATCCCATCTCCATCCAGCTATTTCTTTAAGCATCTCATTCAATCTCTCCCTTGAAATCTCTTCCAAACCCCATCAATATCTCAAACAGTGTTAAACATTTGCTCTGAAGAGCTGGGTTCCATAAAGGCCCAGATTTAGGAATCCAAAAGTTGAGGGCTCATACCAGACCTCTTAAATTTACATTGTCAAAAATTAAGCCCAATTAAGCTCTAGGGAATAGACACGTTCATCAGTCTTTGCATGTCCTATCTGAACAGAACTTTGTATATTTTTAATACATGTTTATGTATAATATATATAAATTATATATATATGATGTACTGATGTACAGATGAAAAGGCTCAGAAGTCCAGCTAACTCTTTGTGCTCCAGCTTCAGCATTTATAGATCAAGCAGAACAAAGGATTTATTAAAGGACATTAAGACATGCATTAAAAAAACATGTTTAAATCCTAGGCCACGTGCCAGTATTATTGGTCATCAGAGATGTCTTTTGTTTATATCAACAATACAATTCCAGAAACTGCTGTACTGCCAGTGACTGTCCTTTTTACCAGGTCTGAGTGTAAACAGAGCAGTACAAGTAGATAAAGAGAGTTTCAGAGCACTGCTGCTGTCACAGCACCAGGACACAGAAAAAAGCCCAATCCAGCTCATAAAGGTAAAAAAGATCTGGATCCAAATCTAATCCCTTATTCAAACTCTCAGCCAAGCTGTATGTTATTCCCTAAGTTTCAGTAACGTGCCTGAATAGCCTGATCCATCATCTTAACTTCCCAGGAGGTGGATTTTGCACGAGTGTAATTCTAGGGCAGAAAAATATGTTGTGATGCAAAATAAGAATGTACCAGCAATGGAAATTACTAATCTTTTAATAAGTGCACTTTTAAAAGTCACTAAACAAGCATTCCCTTGTTATTTTTTACCTCTAATTGCCAATTACAGGAGAAAAAGTCTTCAGAAGACAAGGATGAAGAAGCTGCAGCAAATGAAGTGAACTCAGATGCTCAGAGAACAGAAAATCAATCAACCAAGAAAACACCGGTGCCAAAAACTTCTAACAGAGCACACAGAGGTATGTTCTGTAATTTGGCTCACAAACTCTCTTGATCCTTTCAAATTTCCAGTGGTATTGGTAATTTAGCTGGCACCTGACTGACAGGAACGAGTTCCAAATGATGAATTAAGGTGGTGTCACACAGAGCAGAGCAGCTCTGCAGCATCCAACATCTCCATCCTGCTGCTCTTCCAAAAGCACTTCCTGCTCGGGTTGGTAAAAATTCAGTGCTTTATCTGTGAAAGTATAACTAAGAGGTGTTAATTCCACACTAATCAAACACTGATCTCAAATTCTTTTAGGGAATCTTCATGCCAGCTGGTAGGAATGTGTATTCCTATGGTTGGGGAAAGAAAAGGACTTCAAGGGCTGGGAGTTCCTCCTCATTACAGTGATGACTGTAAATAGATTTTATGCAAACTCATGTAAAAGTTATTTGCAAGGGACTCATTACAAACATCTTTATTGTGAAGTAATTCTACAGAACAAAGAAGAAGCCAGTGCATTTGTTCCTCTATCCAAGTTTTTCTTTCTAGAAATATCCATGTGATTTCCATTAAGGCAAGGCTCGTAGGAAGAGCCAAGATCTGAATGCCAGCGTGGTAAACACTTCCCAAAGGGCAGGACACCCAAAGGCCACACGTTTATAGAGGTGCAACAGGTTGAGGTCACTTCATAGAGCCTGAAATCCGGGCTGTGTTAATTCCTGTGCTTTGTACTCTGCCTTTCCAGACCCCACCAGGTAACCAAAGCCATTTGCCTTTGAAATTCCCTTTTAAAACTGGCAGGAAACACAGGGCTCCTGATGCTCCCTGTGAATCTCTGTCTGAAAACCTGGGAAATCTGAAAACCAGACTTTCCTACTGAAGCCTTACTCAGCTTTTTTAGTTGCTGCACCTTCATATTTCTCCTTTAAGACTCTGCCTCATTCTGGAGGTATCCTGTGAGTCTCTCCAAAGCACAGGAACTATTACAAGATAAATATATTTACTGTATTCCTTTTCCTACTAAAAAGTGGAGCCACCTCACTTACAGGTGAGAGTTGCTGTATATTCTGCTCCACGAGCAACCCTGTTATGAATTAAGGGAAGGAAAATCCTACATATATCCAAGTTCCACTCAACAGCAAGAAAATGACAATTGGAGTTCAGATCTCACATAGTTTCTCTGTTGCATTGTACATGACTTTTCTGGCCCTATGTTTAGGAACTACTGATGATATTTGCAGCTAAATTCACTTAATAAAACTAAACATTGTGAAAAAGGTAAAAATAAAGACATTAACCTGCATTCAATGGCACAATGATCTTGTTTAAATCTTGCCCCATCCTGTTGTATTTATTATAAAGAGCATTGTCATAACCCCCAAGACTGAAAGACCATCAGTAACAACTGAAGCACTGAAATAAGGATGTGAAACTTGCTCTCTAATGTTTCCTGATTCTTTTATATTCCTAAACCCCAAAATATTTAATTTTAGAGTATTTAAGGGAGGGCAGGCTACTGATGGAAGAACACACTTTTTCAGGATTTATGAAAGAAAAGGGAAAAGAGACAGAATTGCTCAAATGGGAGTTGAAAAACTTCATGAAAACTGAACAAGGTCTTCAAAGTCATGGTGTAAAAGACAACAATCAAGAGGGAGATGCAGTGGAAGAATTTGAAAAGGGAGAAAAGCCAGAAGAACAGCAAATTAACAGTGGGAAGGAAGGGAATGAAGGTGCAATTCCAAACAAAAAACCCGTCAGGCCGAAAAAAAAATACACATTCTCAGAAGCCATTGAGAATTTGCATCAGGGGCTTCACACGTCAGGTAGAAACCCCAAAGCAGGGAGCCAGGGACAGGCAGGGCAGGGCTGCACTGAAACAGCTGAATCCAGAGGGAAAAATTCCTTTGGGCTCTACGAGCCAGCCTTTGGTAAAGACACCAAGCCCAGGCAAGAGGATGGAGCCGCCGGAGCGGAAGGACGTGCTCACGTGGCATTTACTGAGAGGAAAAAACAGCTTATGAAAGAACTTTTTGGAGCAGGAGCTGCTCAGAGAGACAACCCTTCGAGTTCCAACACGAGAGGAACGAGGTGCAAGGATGCAGGATGAGACACAGGCCACATTCCAAACCTCCACGGCGAGTTCGTCACGGGAAGCGCCCGACGTGAACAAACTGCCGAGAACACACGAAGCATTTCTGACAGTTAGACAAGTTATAGCAACTTATCTTGGGAAAATTCCAACTTCTAAAATGTAAAACTGTTAAAATTGTTAAAACCAAACGTTTTACCTTCATTAAATGTGTATTAAAAGCACTGGTAGTTTCTTTCCACGAGTTTTCCGACACGACACTCAAAATATTGTCTCAGAAGAACGTTCTCCTGTTCTTGGTCTGTGTGTTGCAAATGCATCACACTGAGAGTCCCTTAACATTTTTACCTGCTATCAGATGCCCAAGTCAGTCCTTGTTTGGTAACTTCCAGGTTTTTGCATCCTCAAGCAGTTGGAATTTGGGAGCTCAGCACGACACGACAAACCCGCTTTCGTAAGGTTCATCTTGGGTTAGCCCCAACAATGCAATCAAAGAAAATACTTCTTTATTTTCTTCCCTCCCCAAACAGCTTCCAGAACTCGCCTGTAACGAAAATAATTTGCTATTCCATTGTTTTCACGAGCATTAGAAACCTCTAAAGCCTCGTTCTTTCCCACTGTTCCAACTTATCAAAGCAGTTTGCCTGGTAACTTCCCCAGCTGACATCCAAAGATGAATGTGCAAGAGTAAACTATTGTTTAGGAGAAGTCAGGCATGGCCAGCTCCCAAAAAGCCTTTAAAAATCCTGTGTTTAAGGTTATGTAAGCCAGGGGAGGAGGATTATGGTTTGTTCCTCATAGTAATTCACAAAACACTTGCTAAAACCATGTGAAATTAGGAAAAATGGGGTGTATTCTGTTAGTTTTAAAAGGCAGCAGCAGCTTGAAAACCTTCTAAAATTACACTGCAAAAGCTTTTAAAGATGACAAAGATATTCAGATATTTCAAAGTTCAGATGTTTGAAAAAATAAATTAGTCCTGTTGACTCCAAGAGTATTTCCTTATTCAAGAACACAGGGGGTTGTTTTGGTTTGGATTTTGGTGGGTCTGGGTTTGTTTTGTCACTTGGGTTTTTTTGGTTTTTGAGTTGGTTTTTATTTGTTTTGTTTTGTTTTTTGGTTGGTTACTTGGTTCTTTTTTTTTAGGAAAACTGCACTAAACATTAAAAAAGGGATCAGGAAACCTGAGAGGGCTTGAAAAGCTTTATTTCCTTAATAAAACCATAATAATACATAACATTCAATCACAACGTTTTTTATGTTTGATACCTAATGTATCTATTTTCATGTTGGCCCAATGTAACTCTGAGTATAAACCCCTAATTTTTAAATTAACAATAAAAAAACCCCAAACATTTCATCCATATATACACACAACATAACATGACCTTTTGATCTGACTTCTAAAGGCAGTGCTCATTTTGGAGGGTTTCTGGCCCCAGAAGGACCTGGAATAACAGAAGAGATACATTCCACTGTGGGAATTCCAGAGTGGGACGCTAAAACAGGATCACCTCTGCAGGAACAGCACTTTCTACTCTCTCTTTATTAAAATGGAGCTTGAGGAGGTTGGCCAGACCTTTCCTCCCAAAACATGGAAGGGAACAGTTTCAGTGAAACATGGAAGGAAATGGTTTCAGTGATCCTCAGTTTGGGAAGCAGAAAAAACAAGTAAGGAAAGGTCAATTATCAATAAAACCAGGAAAAAATTCAATGAATTTTAAAAGTCAGGGAGGAAAAAGTATCCAGCCATCCTGTGTTTGGCTAAGGGAGTCTCTTAAGAGATAAAAATTGATTGAACTTATCTATCAATGGGTTATTTTTTAGGAGAGCCCAGGAATATTCCAATTCTAGGGTAAAAAATACCAAGGAAACTCTGTTTTACCCTGAGCCAACCAAACCACCTCCCTCTGCCCTTTAGCACCTACCAAACATGTGGGGGTGAAACCACCATTATTATACAGCAAAGAAACAGCACAGATCCCAAATTAATTCCTAATGCCAGCCCATTCCCAATTTAAAACCCCAAATCCAACCCTTTTAGATGTTGGTAACCACAGGCCATGCCAAAATCTTATGGTTTTGCCATGAACAGACCCAAACTGAGGATCTATAACCAGCAATGCTGTTCTTTCAAAACTGAACCCCCCCCAAAAAAGACAACCTCTGGGAAGAGAAATCCAAGGGAATACTGACTGATATCCAACTGGAATAACAAGGATTGTCTCAGTCTCATGAAAGACAACTCTCCCTTTTTTTTTTTTAATTAATTTAAAATAGTGAAAATGGTGAAAATGCAGTTGAGGATTCCATGGATCAGTGGAATTCCTTCAGCTGAAGGGGTGCAGCATGATAGCCACAACTTTATTGCAAACCACGAGCCAGCAGGTAATTCCAACACCACCTGGAAGAGATATAAACCAGAGTTTAAATCATTGGTTTAATAACCCTGAGGAACACAGGCATCTAAAAACTACCTTGGAAGCGTAAAAAACGGAACTTAGAAGTTATGAGGTGAACAGGAACAAAACATCTCTTTACATCCAAGTGGGTCTCTCCATGAGATGGCAGAGAACTCCAAAAAAACCTCGGGAAAAGAGCACCAAACACACAAAAATGAGCCAAAGTGTGATATGTTAAAACTAAAGGTAAAAAAAGCTGAAAACATTTGCTGTGGACCTGAGGGAAAAACATCTGGAGTGCTGGAGCTGAAGGCCTGGCAAGTCACAGGATGCTTTGTCTGAATCTAAATTCAGGGTTTGAGAGAGGTAAAAAGCAAAAAGCCTTTGAAATTTAATTCAGCCTTTTTAAAAGGAGATGGTTGCTCATAGCAAATATGTGAAGAAAGTACAATTTGGGTGATTTTAGACATTTTTGTGTTTGTGACCTAGAATTCAACAGTGATCTATTTACTCCATAAACCAGGACAAAAGATTTGAAAGTGGACACAACATGAACCTTTTTAATTCCTTTCCAAGGAATAAAAGCCTTCCAAGGACTATTCCCTCCCCCTGAAGCAGACTGCTCTTGTGTAGTAAACATGCTGGATACAAATCATGCATACAAACACACAATTCCACCAACACATATTGGAATTCCTCCAAAGGCAGGCAGGATTTATGAGCAAAATATGAAGATTCACCCCGTACCCTGTCCTGCCTGTCCCTCATCCCTCAGGACAGGGATAACAAACCTCTGCCACTGTTCTGATCATCAATTTGTTAAACTGGCCAGAAGAAAAGGATTTTAGTGGGCAAAACTGCAATAGAAACGTGGTGGGAACACACAAGACAAAATGCCAACAGAGAGCAAAACTAAATCACAGAATCATGGAATGGTTTGGGTTGGAGAGGACCTTAAAGATCATCCATTTCCCACCCCCTGCCACGGGCAGGGGCACCTTCCACCAGCCCAGGTTGCTCCAAGCCCTGTCCAACCTGGCCTTGGACACTTCCAGGGATCCAGGGGCAGCCACAGCTTCTCTGGGCAACCTGTGCCAGGGCCTCCCCACCCTCACAGGGAACAACCACTCTGGAGTTACCACTGTGAAACCTCAGCAATTTATATGAAAAGCAGGTAAGACAGCCACACCTATGAAGTATTTACCCACTTTTAAACCCAATTCTACTATTTCAGTGGACTCCTTAAAATAAAAATAATTCTAATTTAAATCTTCAGTACAGATAAGGAGATAAAGCTGCTGTTTGAAAACGAACAGAAATGACAAAAAGCCCATTTCAGTTCCCAGTTTTCACAAACAAGATCTGAACACACAGGGAACAGAATAAAGGGAGTCAGAATAAAGGGGGTGCAGAAGCAGTGCTGTTAATCCATGGGAGCTTGGGAATGTCCTTTTCCTTACCTGCCACCCCTGTAGGGAAGGCCACCAGCCTCTCCAGAGGAGCCAACCATTTGCTTGGAAGCACAGTAACTGGCTCAGAGTAGTACTTCCAAATCAGGGAGATCATCAAGGCAGCCTGGAAGGGAAAGTTTTATTAGCTTGGGGAATAACACACATCAAAGTACATTCCTGACGCTACTTTGAAACAGTAAATAATAAATTCTAATTAAAGGGAATTGTTTCTTTGTTATTTTATCTCGTTCTTTAGCAAGTTCAAGATATTTTTAAACTCTGCATGAGCCTAAATTCATACACAGCACTCAGAGGTAGCTGTAGAACATGGAAAATGCTGATTTGTTTTGAGACTCTGGTTCCAGTCCAGCAGAGACAAACACAATCACAGCACTTGGTAAATTCTGATGACTCTTTTTAGCCTTAATTTTTCCCTGCTAGAAATCCAGCTCGGGAATCTTCAGGGTGAGCACTGTCATCCTTATTAGCAGCCAATTCTTTGGCATCAAGTCACAACTACAGAGACAACCTGATGAGGCACCGTGGGGAAACGTGTGGCAGCTGCAAGTGGAGATTTGCATCCTCAGCAAGGGCATATTTTGTTTTCAGAAACACAAATAAAATACATTTGCATGGAGCAGAACTTTCCTGGATCCGGTGCAACATGTAAAATTAATGAAAAACCCCCCCGTGATTAAAGAGGCAAGACAAACTCCTATCCTGTCACCCCAAAACCAGAAACACAAAACTCCTTCCATCCTCAACTCCCAGACTTTATCAGCAGCATCTCCCATTTCCATTTTAAGAAACTCTTTCCACTTGGCATGCACTGTGTCATTGGAATCATAATAATGGAATGGTTTGGGTTGGAAGGGACCTTAAAGGTCATCCATTTCCCACTCCCTACCATGGGCAGGGACACCTTCCACTAGCCCAGGTTGCTCCAAGCCCCGTCCAACCTGGCCTTGGACAATTCCAGGGATCCAGGGGCAGCCACAGCTTCTCTGGGCAACCTGGGCCAGGGCCTCCCCACCCTCACAGGGAACAATTTCTTCCTGATATCCCATCTAACCCTGCCCTCTGTCAGTTTGAAGCCATTCCCCCTTGTTTTGTCACTCCAGGCCTTTGGAAATAGTCTCTCTCCATCTTTCCTGGAGCTCCTTCAGGCCCTGGAAGGCCACAGTCAGGTCACCCCAAAGCTTCTCTTCTCCAGGCTGAACAATCCCAGCTCTCCCAGCCTTTCCTCCCAGCAGAGCTGCTCCAGCCCTGGAATCCTCTTGGTGCCTTCTCTGGACTCTCTCCAACAGCTCCACGTCCTTCCTGTGCTGGGCACCCGTGTGGCCACTCACCAGCCAACAAATGCAGGAGAGAATTGTAACACTACTGAGGTTTAGGTTTCATTTGTATTCATAACAAAATATTTACTTACCTGTAAGATGTAGAATACAATATTTATAACCCACTTTATTTTGGCCAATTGGGCAGTTCGTGCTTTCACTGTTAAAGAAAAAAAATTACTCTGTGATTATTTACAATATTGAATTATCCTTACATAAAATTAGCAATTTATTAATATCTCATTCAAGTCAGGACATTACATCGCTGAAAACTCTTTTTTCAAAATGATTCATTGCTATATTAAAAATACCCTTCTGCAAGAAACTTCTAAGTTTATCTCACACCTTAGTTTCTT